CTAAAGCCCATTCCTCTAAAATCAGGAACAAGACAAGGATGTCCAATATCTCCATATCGCTTCAATATTGTACTTGAAGTTCGAGCTACAACAATAAGACCACAAAATGAGATAAGGCGATACAAATTGGAAAGGAAGAAGTCAAACTTTCACTATTTGCAGATGATATGATAGTCTATGTAAGTGACCCAAAGAATTCTACCAGGAAACTCCTACAGCTGATAAACACATTCAGGAAAGTGGCAGGATACAAAATTAAATAAAAAAAATCAGTAGCCCTATTATATATAGACAATAAAGGGGATGAGAAAGAAATCAGAGCAACATCACTCTTTACAATTGCCAGAAACACCATGAAATATCTTGGGTAACTGTAACCAAATAGGTGAAAGGCCAGTATAAAAGAACTTTGAGTCTTTAAAGAAAGAAATTAAAGGAGATACCAGAAAATGGAAAGATCTTCCATGCTCTTGGATAGATAGGATCAACGTAGTAAAATTGGCAATCTTACCAAAAGCAATCTACAGATTCAATGCATCCCTATCAAAATACCAGCACAATTTTTCACCGACCTTGAAAGGACAATCCTCAATTTGATATGGAAAACCAAAAGACACAGGATAGCCAAGGCAACCCTATACAATAAAGGAACTACCTGAGAATCACCATCCCTGACTTCAAACTCTATTATAGTGCTATATTTGTGAAAACAGCTTGGTATTGGCACAAAAACAGACATATAGACCAATGGAATCAAATCAAAGACCCTGATATCAATCCACACACCTTCAAATACCTGATCTTTAACAAAGAAGCTAAAACTATACAATTGAAAAAATAAAGCATCTTCAACAAATGGTGCTAAAGTAATTGGATGCTGGCATGTAAAAGACAACAGATAGATCCATATCCATCACTATGCACAAAATTTCAGTCCAAATGGATCAAAGACCTCAACATAAATCCAGCCACACTGAATCTCTTAGAGGAGAAAGTAGGAAGTACCCTTGAACACATTGGTACAGGAGACCATTTCCTGAACATAACACCAGTAGCACAGACACTGAGATTGACAATTAATAAATGGGACCTCCTGTAACTGAGAAGCTTCTGCAGGACAAGGGACACAGTCAATAAGACAAAACAACAGCCCACAGAATGGGAAAATATATTCACTCACCCCACATCTGACAGAGGGCTGATCTCCAAACTTTACAAAGATCTCAAGAAGCAAGTCTCCAGAAAACAAAAGGATCCAATTAAAAAGTGGGGTACAGAACTAACTAGAGAATTCTCAATAGAGGAGTCCAAAATGGCCAAGAGACACCTGAGAAAGTGTTCAACATCCTTAGCCATTAGGAAAATGCTAATTAAAACAACTCTGAGATACCATCCCACTCCCATCAGAATGGCTAAAGTTGAGTACTACTCAGCAGAAAAATAAATGGAATCTTGAATTTGCAGGCAAATGGATGGCACTAGAAGAAACCATCCTGAGTGAGGAAACCGAGTCACAAAAAGACAAGCATGGTATGTACTCACTCACACATGGATTTTAGACATGGAGCGGGGCACTGCCAGCCCACAATCCCACTTCAGAGAGTCTTGGGTGCATGGAGGACCCTAAGAGAGATATGCATGGTAATCCGGACAAGGGTTATGGGATGAGATCTCCTAATTGGGTTGGGGGCAGGGCAGGGGAGGGCAGAAGAACTTGGAAGAAAGAGAACAAGAAAAGAGGAGGGAAGAGGAGGACATGGGAGAGCAGGAAGGTTGAGCCAGATTAAGAATAGATGAGTAAAGGATGGGAGATACCATAAAAGAGGGAGACATTATAAGTTAGAGGAGAGATCTGGCACTAGTGAGATCTTCACAGATCTATAAGAATGATACCAACTGACATTAAGGCTACCTTAAATGCCCTCCCATGATAATGAGAATGATGACTACCTTATATGCCCTCCTAGAACTCTCATTCAGTGCCTGATGGAGGCAGAGGCAGACACCCACAGCTGTGAACTAAATTGAACTCCTGGAACCCAGTTGCAAAGAGGAGTGATGACCAAAGGAATCAAGATCAGGCTGGTGAAACCCACAGAGGCAGCTGACCTAAACAAGGGGGAACACATGGACCCCAGAATGATGAATGAGGAGCCATCATGGGACTGACACACACATCCCTCCACCAAACCTGGTTGACAGAGAGGAGGCCTTGGCAATCTGTGGGACCCTGGAAAGTAGAGCAGTATTTATTGCTGGCATACAGAGGGACTCTGGGAACCCATATCACATGGAGGGATATTCTCTCAGCCTGGACACATGGGGAAGAACCTAGGCCCTTCCTGGGATGATGTGACAGACTCTGAAAATCCCTCATGGAACATGGAAGCCCTTGGCCTCCCTGGGGAGCAGAGTGGGGATGGAGTTGGGTGAGGGATTGGGCCAATTGAGGGGCGGGGGAGGAGGGGAGGGAGAGGGAACTGAGAGAGACATGTGTAAAAAGTTAAATAAAAAATATGTACAAAAAGAAAGTGTCCAACATCCTTAGCCATCAGGGATATGCAAATCAAAATAATTCTGAGATACTCTGTTACTCCTATCAGGATGGCTAAAATCAATAACGCCAATGCTGTTGGGAATGCCAACTCGTACAACCACTTTGTAAATCATTATAGAGGCTCCTCAGAAAAATGGGATTCAGTCTACCACAAGATCCAGCAATTCCACTCTTAGACATATACCCAAAAGATGCACATTCATGCAACCTGGACATCTGTTAAACTATGTTCATAACAGAATTATTTGTAATAGCGAGAGCCTGGAGACAAGTCAGATGCCCCTCTACTGAAGAATGGATAGAGAAAATGTGGTACATTTGCAGAATGGAGTACTACTCAGTGGAAAAAAAATGGAATTTTGAAATTCAAAGGTAAATTGATGGACATAGAAGAAACCATCCTGAGAGAGGTAACCGAGTCAGAAAAAGACAAACACAGTATGTACTCACTCATATGTAGATTTTAGATATACAACAAAGGATTACCAGCCTACAATCCAAGCTGCCAGATAACCTAAGAAACTAGGAGGACCCTAAGTGAGACATACATGGTACCCTGCAGAACCAGAAATGGACAAGATCTCCTGAGAAAATTGGGAGCATGTGGGGAGGGAAGAGGTAATTAGGAGAAACACAAGAAGAGAAGAGGAGGCAAGAGGAGGACATGAGGGAGCAGGAAGTTTGAGTTGGGGGAAGAATAGAGAACAAGAAAAGAGATACCACAATAGAGGGAGACATAGGTTTAAAGAGAAATCTGGCACTAGGGAAATGTCCAGAGATCTACAAGAATGACTCCAACTAACAATCTAAACAATAGTGGAGAGGCTGCCTTAAATGCCCTTCCCTGATAATGAGATTGATAACTATCTAATATACCATTCTATAGCCTTCATCCAGTAATTGGTGAAAACAGAAGCAGACACCCACAGCTAAAAACTCAACTCAACTACTGGAATCCATCTTCAGGGAGGGAGTGAAGAGCAGAGGGGTCAAGACCATGCTGGAGAAACCCACAAAAATAGCTGATCTGAGCAAGGGGGAACTCATGAACCCCAGACTGATAGCTGGGAATTCAGCATAGAACCAACTCAGACACCCTGATTGTGGGTGTCAGGAGTTCTGGGCAATCTATGGGACTTCTGCCAGTGGGTCAGTATTTATCCCTAGTATATGGATGGACTTTGGGAGCCTATTTCACATAGAGGCATACTCTCTCTCACCCTAGACACATGGGATGGCCTAGGTCCTGCTCCAAATGATATGACAGACTTTGAAGAACCCCCATGGAAATCCTCACCCTCCTCCCTAAGGAGCAGAAATGGGATGGGTTAGGGGGTTTTGTGGAGCAGGAAAGGAGAGGAGGGAGCAGGAACTGGGATTGACGTGTAAAACAAGCTTGACTTTCTAATTTAAATTTAAAACTCTGAAAGGACAAAAAAGAATACTCAAACCCTTTTTACCACCTCCTTTTCTTATTATCCATTTGCATGCCTTATTTCTGCTTTTATAAAACAAAACACACAAAACTTCTTGTGTGTTCCTAAAGGGAGGGTTATCTTCCTTTTCAACAACTTTGCATGCCTCCTAGCATACATTGTTGGCCAAGGACCACCTACTTCACTCCTCCTCCAGAAACATCTCTGCCAACATTTGCATTAGTTGGCTGTTCAAATCATCTTTTGTAAAATGTTTCCTAATACTTAACTCCATTTTTCCTTCTCTTTAGATTGTTTCCCTATACTGAATGCAATTTCTAACTATTTTCTTTTTTTAAATTTATGTATTTATATAGTTTAGAAACAATCTTATTTTACATATTAATCCCAGTTTCCTCTCCCTCCCCTCCTTCCCTCCTCCCCTGGCTCCCACTAACCCCCATCCCATCTTCTTTCTGCTCTCCAGGGAGGGCGAGGCCTTCCATGGAGGATCATCAAAGTCTGTCATATCATTTTGAGCAGAGTCTAGGCCCTCCCCAGTGTGTCTAGGCTGAAAGAGTATTCCTCCATGGGGAATAGGATCCCAAAATCCATTTGTGTACTAGATATAAATACTTGTTCTACTGTCAGTGGTGCCATTAGAATGGATCTCTGTACATACAAAATGAATACATGAAGGAAAACATTGAATATATAGAAATCAAAGCAAATGATACTCGGAAAGAAGGATTGCAAGTACAACGTCACCCTGCAGTACAATGATTTCAAGTGCAGCCTGAGTAACCTTAGTGAACCTATGACTCAAAATAAAAGTAAAACAGATATCTAGACTAAAGATCAATGATTGTATGAATACCTCCAACCCAAACACACCTACATAGAAAAATAGGGGGGACTTAATGATATAACTTCCTTCCTTCCCCTTATCACAAAAAAGAAAACACAATACAAAAGAGAAACCACTCAAAAATGAATTTTTAAATGTTTATTTTTCAGAAAACCTTCTACATGACAGTCTTAAGCCTTTGTCTTATCCTTGTAGCTCCAGTGACAAAAGGTATTGGAAATGTTTTGGTACTTCAAAAGTTGCTACAAGTATTGACAATGTCCAATCAAGCAGATGTTAGGCAAGTTCATGTAAGTCACTGAAACTTTCATTGTTAGACTGTGTGGTCCTTGGATAAAGGCTTTATCCTTAGGCTTCAAATGCTGAATAAATTCCCCTGGTAGCCATTTCCAAGGGGAGAGGAGTTATTTATTGGCACATTGGAATTAAGTACAGATGCCAAGTCATAAGCCCTATAGCTGTATAGGAAGAAATAATCTCCATTAGAGCCATGCAAATCAGGATGGGTATTGCAGACGTTCAGAAAATTTCCATGTACTTGAGAGAAATTAAGTCCTTCAGTACTTCTGCTACTTCCAGTTGTCCCACAAAAGTTCCCATTTGCTCCAAAGGTATTTTGATTTGCTCCAAAAGCATTTTGTGTTGCTCCAACAGCATACTGACTTGCCTCAAAGCTATTTGAGTTTGCCCGGAGATCGCATGGGCTTGTCCTGAAAACACTTGGGCTTGTTGCTAAAGCACAGTGGCCTGTCGAGAAATCATTCGGGTTTTCCACAAAAGCATAGCAATTTGGCCTGAAGGCTCCTGAGTTTGCACTCCAAGTATACTGACTTTCCCCAGAAGTATTTGGGCTTGTCCCAGAAACATACTGACTTACCCCCAAAGCATTTGGGTTTGTTCTCAAAGGATACTGGTTTGTCCAGAAGACATTTGGGGTTGCCCCCATAGCATGTTGGCTTATCCCCAAAGCATTTGGGTATGATGCCAAAGCACACTGGCTTACTCCAAAAGCATTTGTGTATGGTTCCAAAGTGTACTCACTTGCCCTGAGAGCATTTGGACTTGCCACAAGAGCATCCTGGTTTGCCCAGATGGCATTTGGGTTTGACCTCGGAGCATAGTTGCTTAACGCCCCAGTATTTGAGTTTGGCCTGAAATCATTCTGGCTTGCCATAAAAGCACTTGAATTTGTCCCCAAAGTATTAGAGTTCTCCTGGAATTCACTGGGGTTATCCCTGAAACCACTGGAACTTGTCCCAGTGGTATTTGAGTTTGCTCTGAAAGTACATGGACTAGCTCTGTGGGCATCTAGGTTGACTTCTTGAGTATCTGAGGCAGACATAAATTGGAAGCCTTGGTTGCATCCTTCTCCCCAGTGCCTTTTTAACCGAGCAGCTGGAATAGGTTTTCTTTCACTAACCAGAGATTTAGCCTTACTTTTACTCTGTTGTCTTCCAAGATATTCTTTAGGAATTGCTATTTTAACTTCACAACGGCTGGAGCCAATGAAATGGAACCTGGTTTCTAAGACCTTTCTAGCGGGGTGTTCCTCTGTGTATTTGATAAAGCCGAAAGCTCTTCTTTTCTTTGTAGCTGAACACAGTGGAAGCTCAACAGTTTCTATCTCTCCAAATGTGCCGAAGTAGGCTCTTATTTTTTCTACAGACATTTGAGGGTTCAACCCACCCACGAAAACCTTTTTGATGGGGAATTGAGATTCAATGGCTTTAGCCCTTTTAAAATGTATTTTCTTGCCATCAATTTGGTGGTCTTTCACTTTAAGCACCTTCTTTACCGTAGAACTATCTTTGAAAATCACGAATCCAAATCCCCTAGAGAGGCCGGTATTTGGGTCTACTTTTATGATAAAATCAACTATCTCGCCGAACTGTGACAAGTATTCTAGAAGTGCTTGCTCTTTCAGTTCTGGAGAAAGTCCCCCAATGAACATCTTACCGGCATCCTGTTCATTCCTGGTGGCATCGATTCTGAACCCTTCATGGAACTGGTCTTTTTTACTGTACTTTCTCACAGCGAGGCTGGCGGTATTCATGGTAGACAGGTTGCATGGAGGTAACTTGGCTATTGGTGAAAAGACAGCTGAGGCACAAATGGCAACAGCATTGCCATCGTCGAGGAGTATGGGGATTGTCACAAAATAATGACGAAATAGAAACAATCATAGCAACTAGAGTCAAAGCATTGACTGAATCAGGTTGTAAACTAGGGTGGGGGAAGGGCAGGGATAGTGCCTGATTTTGACAATAAAAAGTAGACATGCCTACAGATTTTGTTTTTGTGCTCCTAAGGCCCATAAAGAGAACAGTTTGCTAAAAAAGGAAACAATTTTCATTCGTGTTCCTGTCTTTTCAGATTATATCTCTTTGAACTTTTATTAAACCCACTCCCCCAGATTTTTCTGGGAAGCGTCTTAAATGTCTGAGAAATCATCAGTTCATTGTATCCTTTAGATAAGTTTAATATTAACTGTTAACTATTTGGGGCTTGAGATGGGAAAATGATGCAGGATTGAAACACCTTGCAGGGAAGATAAAATGCCTCTTGGTTTGTCCATTATACTAAGGAGATCCAAAGGGAAATTTTAAAATAAAAAGAGTTTCACTGAGATTCACTTATGTAAATCATCCTTTTATTGTTTTAAATGTATTCAAAAATGATTCTGTCATTACACTAATGCAATTAATAAATGCACCCTCACCACATAGTTCTTTATCCCCCTTAAGCAGTCACTCATTTCTTCACAACCCACTCAATATTATAATATAATGTGTGACTTTTTCTGTTTTACTCCTCATACCTAACTGCTTTCAAGATGTGGTTGTGCTGTAGTATATATTAATATTTTTGTTTTTAATTCATTGTTTGGATATTTTATAATTTGTTTTAGATTACACATTTCACTTTCCAGTTTGGTTTTGTTCCATTGTTGCATACATGCATCACACACACACACACAAATAATCATGCTTTTTTCTAGCACCTATTGTTATTTCTTCTTTTTATCATAGTAAGTAAGTATAGATCTTATAAGTTTCTCTTATAATGAGAAACAATATCAGGGAGATATCTCACTGTGTCTAAAGACAAAATCTCAAATTTTGGATGCAAATTTTTTGCCTATTTCTGTTCTTGTTACTACCCATTAGGTTTAATGAGGCAGTTTATATCTATCAACTCCTCCTAATATTAGTTTCTTTGAGGAAGGAGATTTTAGTGTCTACATAACTATTCCCATAGTTTGTGTATATAATCATATTCAAAGAACTTTTGCAATTATTTTATATTTATGGTATCAGTCCTATGTTTAAAATGATGGCCACTTCTCTCCAAACTGAACGCTTAAATATTAAGCATAATTTTGAGACTGGAAAGGAAGCTATATTCCCAAAATACCTTACAACTTCACATTTATAGCTCTCCACATGATGGACTTCATTCTCCTCTCCCTTCTATGGTGTTATATAACAGGTGGAACAAGTTGAAAGTTAGTATGTAGACTAGAAAATGTTGTATGTGAAGATATAAAATATGATTCCATGATATGCTGATGAGAAGCTAGAGATCAATTTGCTCAAGGTGGTTATTTTGCTAAGTGCCTCTAGAAAATGCCTGATAAAAAATAAAGCCTCACTTTCCCAAAATCATTTTTCCTTTAGAATCAGAAAGTGTTATAATTACCCAAACACATAATATAAAGTAGCACTAGAGGCATAGCCACACTGTTTTCTATCACTTGTCTGACCATGGACAAATCTCTGTTTTCCAGATAGCCATCTGAAAAATCAGCCTCAGAACAAATTAAGTTTTCAAGGCCACCATTACTAGTAAGAACTCTGTAATAAATAAAAATCTTTTTTATAGTTATATTAGTCAAGGTTCTCTAAAGAAACAGAACTTATAGAATGTATCTCTCTCTTTCTCCCTCTCTGTATAGATACAGTTATAAATATAAAGAGAATATATTAGTACAGCTTATGGGCTGTGATCCAGCTATTCCACCAATGGCTGATTGTGAACATAAAGCTCAAGAATTCAGTAGTTGCTCAGTCCACGACGCAGATTGTCTCAGCTGGCCCTCAGTAGACTCTGAAATCTGGAAGAAAAAGGCTCTAATGACAGTGAAGGAATGGACTTGCCAGCAAGGTGAGAGAAAGCTGGTAAAGAGCAAAAGCTTCCATTTTCCATGTCCTTATATAGGCTTCCAGAATAAAGTACAACCTACATTAAAGGTGTATCTCCTTTTGTTTATATACAGATTGAAGACATTTGCCTACCTGTATCAAAGGTCTGGACAAGAAGTGGGATTCGCCCACTTCAAACCAATCAAAAAAAATCTCTCACAGGTGCACCCTCCATTTCTCGATTTTAGTTCATTCCAGATTCAGTGTAGTTGACAAGCAAGAATAGCTAATATAGCCAGACAGTGGTTGCACACACGTTTATTTACCAAACTCAGGAGACAGAGGCAGTTGATTCTCTGAGACTGAGGCAAAGCTGGTCTACAGAGAAAGTTTCAGGACAGCCAGGACTATAAAGAGAAGTCTCGTCTTGAGAAACCAAAAAGGAATAAACGAAACATATCCTTCACAATAAGTTTCTAGTATGGATATTTAGGCTCCCTGATGATGTCTATAGGTAAATGATCTAATTTTTATGTGAATTATCATATACTTGGTTTAATAAATATATTCTTTACATACATAGCACAAAGAGTGCAAAGATGATAAGGAGTAATACTGTAAAAAAAAGGACTGTAAGGAAAGTAAGTTACTTCACAAGCTAAAATTAAATCATTTAATTCCTCCTCATACTTTGATTGTATTTGAATCTCCTTCTGCCCCTAAATTCAGAACCCTGTCTATATCTTTTTACATTTATTTGCCGAACATCATTCTTCACAATTTGTTGTCTTCTATTTTCTTATTTTTTAATTATTGCACCTCTATTTCCATTCCATTCATTTAACGTTTACAGAATTCCCTAAAATCATCTTCTTGAGAGCCCAAAGTATCTTTTCCATATGTCAGTGTTACCCCAATTCTGGTACCAACTTCTGTCTTACCATGTTCCCTAACCATATGGAAGCAGCTGGCCTGATATAAAAGTGGATAACCCCATAGACCAATATATTTGAATGATTAGTTATTAGGAAGTGAATCATATTTGAGAAAGATTAGGGGGATGTGTCTTTGTTGGAAGATGTGTGTCACTGGAGATGATCTTTTAGGTGTCAAAAGCCCACAATAGCCCCAAAGTCACTTTCTCTGTCTAAGGATCAGGATGCAGCTCTCAGTTAATGTCCCAGCATCTGACTGCATGCCACAATGCTTCCTGGCATGATGGCAATTGATTAAACCTCTGAAAATGTAAGAAAACCCCTAATTAAATGCTTTCATAACACTTGCTTTGGTCATGGTATCTCTTCACAGCAATAAAGTATTGACTAAAGGAAGGTACTTCTTCATGTGTCTGTTTTTTCATTACCTACCATTGAGCTTCTCCTAGGTAGACAATGACCATACATAACTTGAAGTTCCTCTCCTTGGAATAAAATGCATAATATTTACCATATTTTTAAACAGAAACTCACTACATGATTGTTGAAATAATTTTAACAGTGGATATTAAAGTGCTACATTTTTGAACTTCCTGGTCTATCTGTCCTCTGAGAAGATGAGTCATTTGCAAATTGCTTCTTGGATGCTGATCTACTACAATTTGGAAAAGCTGACTTATCTTCCCTCACTTAAAGTAAGTGTGTGAAAGAGGCTGCAAGTTTGAAAATTTCTTATTTCTAGTCATTTCCTAACCATTTGAGATAACCACAGAATTTAGCTTTTGCTAGAATGAAAATCTTAGACGAATTACACCTGCTGAGTGTTCCTCAACTGTTGAAACACCTTCATGACTAATTATTTAGCTATGACAATTTACCTATGGGACAGGAGAGATGTCTAGTTTCGACCTCTTTCTGAATTGGTTATGTTTATTCAAATGCATGGATACATGCTGTACCCTTTACCTTAGTCTTAGAACATCCAATTGTGTTCTGGGTCACAAAGTTCTGCTAAGTCTGGACATGTCAATGAATCAGTGAAAAAGAGTATCCTTCAATCTGGATACAAAATTCAAATCATTCAACTTACTGACCTTGGGTCAGTAATGTTAGTTTGTTATGTGAAAGACAGCACATTATTAAAGAAATTACTTTTGAAACAGTAAAAAAGGAACATTTTATAAAGATTGTGTCTACCTTGTTTCTCTAGTGAAAATAATTATGTTTACTCTGGTTTTCTACACATGCCCCCCCCACACACACGTATACACACACACACACACACACACACACAGAGAGAGAGAGAGAGGGATAGAGAGAGAGAGGACATGGTCTTCTAGCTGTTCAAAATGTTGCCCAGTATAGTTTTAATTGTATTTGTGGGAATTGGGGACTTGTATCAAATAACTCTGTGTTTTAAGTTTTTAAATATTCTTACATAATTCACAATGTTGGCTTTCCTCATGTGGCAGTACATTAACAGTAATTCTGACTATCAATTTATTCCTATTGTACATTAACTTAAAATACATGGTTTTGATATTTGAAGCCACAGGTACCTTTTTGCCAAGATAGTAATGAATGAATGAATGAATGAATAAATAAATATTAGATATTCTGGCAATTACCAAAGGTTGTTTATAAGTATGTAATGCTTATAAAACTGACTCTGAAAGTCAAAAGACACGATGTACAATAACTATGGATAGGAATTAGAATTTGCTAATGCTTGGAGGTAGGGGGACCAATCCTGAAGTAAATGTAGACTATCATAATTATTGTATTTGTGGAAATATTGTGTACCTTATTTAGATTTGTTTTCATCGGAACTAGATTGCGCTTGAAATATTCATAGCTCTAAATTTACTCATCCCTTGGGGATAAGATGAAAGATGACATATGCCCTTAGAATTAATCTGCTTCTCTTATCATGGGATTCAACCTTGGCAGAAGGATGCTACGGGACCCATAAATCAGAA